AATATGTTTGTGTAAATTTAGATCTTACTGTGTGCAGTAAAAATACTTTACTTTCTCAGTTAAATTTTAATTTTAGTTGAAATGTTGCATTCATACCCAACTTTTCTATCAACATGGACTGGACTGGAGGAAATTATGCTGAATGAAGTAAGTCAAGCAGAGAGAGTCAATTATCATATGGTTTCACTTACTTGTGGAGCATAAGGAATAACATGGAGGACATTAGGAGAAGGAAAGGAAAAGTGAATTGGGGGAAATCAGAGGGGGAGACGAACCATGAGAGACTGTGGACTCAGAGACAAACTGAGGGGTTTTTTGGAGAAGAGGGTGTGGGGGGTTGGTTGATCCTGGTGGTGGCTATTAAGGAGGACACATGTTACATGGAGCACTGGGTGTGGTGCATAAACAATGAATGTTGGGACACTGAAAAAATAAAATTTAAAAAATTAAGTAATTTCAAAAAATCAAAAATAATAAATATAAATAGTTGCAGTCATGCATGTAAAGTGACTACATTAGTTTGTATAGTTGCTCATCTCCTGGGATTGTATTTCCCAAACAAATCACACTATCTGCATAAGCTTTTGAAAGATGTTTTTGTTTGTTTGTTTATTTTTATTTATTTTTTTTGTTTGTTTTACTGTTGTTGTTTAAAGATTCTATTTTTAAGTAATCTCCACAACCAACATGGGGCTTGAACTCGCAGCCCTGAGATCAAAATTCTCTTGCTACCCTGACTAAGCCAGCCAGGTACCCCTAAGCTTTTGCAAGTTTTCTCTCTCTCTAGGTATGAAATAATCTGAATAAAATATGGGTAAACTTCCTAAAGAAATATAATATGCTTTGAAAAAATCAGGGAGTTTCTTCCAACAGAATAATCCTTTTGTTACAATATCAAAACTAAAATTTTGCATCTTCAAGACAGTATTTTCTTTCTCCCTTTAGTTGTATGTGAAAGCCAGCTGTTCTGAAAATTTTTGATTTTCCTTTTTTTTTTCTTTGAAAAGATTTTATTTATTTATTTGACAGATAGAGATCACAAATAGGCAGAGAGGCAGGCGGGGGTGGGGGGAGCAGGCTCCCTGTTGAGCAGAGCACCTGATATGGGGCTCTATCCCAGGACCCAGAGATCATGACCTGAGCCGGAGGCAGAGGCTTAACCCACTGAGCCACCCAGGCGCCCTGGTTTTCCTTTTTTTAAATGGAGAAAGTAACAGTCCATACTAATGTTAAAACTTGGTTTCCATTTTATTTTAGGTTTCTAAAAATCGAATAATAGTAGCATACATGTACAGTAGTAAAAATACCTATGTGGGTTTTTTTTTTTTTTTTCTTAATGCCTCTTCTGAACTATTTTACTCACACTTTTGATGCCAAATGTGTGAGTTTTCCCCTCTGCCCCACTACTGATTCTCTGGACAGTAACTAGTATCTTAAAATTCGATTCCATTCTGACACTAGCTACTCAAGAGTTAGCGCTGATCGCACAGGCTAAGGGCTTAGTGCCACAACTGTCCTGACTTCAGATGTACGTCATAAGTCCCATGTTGCCAGCAGTACTTCTGACCAACCAGCTACGAATTGGGAGTTCCCATGATCCCTTTCTCAGGTTTGATGATTTGGTAGGATGGCTCACAGAACTTAGGAAAGTGCTTTACTTCCTCTTACTGGTTTATTATGAAAGATACAACTGAGAAATAGCCAAATGGAGGAGATACATAGGGCAAGGTATGGAGGGGAGGGGGCTGTGGAGGAGGCACAGAGCTTCCATGCCTTTCATGAGTGCAGCCCCCTCCCAGCCAGTACATCAATACCTTGTTGTATATGACAACCTGAAAGTTCTCTGAGTCCTATGATAGGGGTTTTTATGGAAGTTCCATTACATGAGCATGATTGATTTCATCATTGGCCATTGGTGATTGAACTCCATCTCTAGCTCCTCTCCTCTTCCCAGGGGAGGGTGGGACTGAAGGTGCTACCTAATCATACAGTTGTTTTTCTGGCCACTGGATCCTATCCTGAGGCTAAGTAGGGTCTCACCAAACGTTACCTTATTAGCACAATAAACTCAGGTATGGTTGAAAAGGGTTTGTTAAAAATAACAAAAGATGATCCTGTCACCTCTGTCACTTGAGAAATTTAAGGGTTTTAGAAGCTCAGTATCTGGAACCAGGGACAGAAACCCAATGTTTACTTCTTATTGTCCCACCTACTATGATTTGGGATATAGGACAGTAGAAAATGGAAAGGAGGAGGGTTTCAGTGTTGGTTTGATTTTCAGGTTTTTAATTATAGACTTCAATTAATATTTATCTAAAGGGGAATTCTAAAATATAGTAGAGTGGGCTGCCTGGGTGGTTCAGTCAATTAAGTGGCTGCTTCTTGGTTTTGTGGGATTGAGCCCTGCACGCTCAGTGTGGAGTCTGCTTGAGGGTTCTCTCCCCATCTCCTTCTACCCCACCTTGGACTCGCGTGTACTCTCTTTCTCTTTAAAATTAAAAAAAAAAAATCTAAAAAATAATAAAAAAAAAACAAAAAACAGAGCATGAAGATAATTCCCTGCAGTAATGTCCATATTCCAGAAAACAGGATATAATGTCAGTGTATCATATTCGAGACAGCAGATAAATTACGTCAATAGCATGGGCTATTAAGATGTTCTTAATTAAAAAATGATTATAATACATGGGGAAAATTTTGATACAAATTCAAAAAAAATTATAAAGGAAATGAACATTAAGCCTCAGTTAAATGCCAGTCATATATCATTTAATCCTTACTATTACATAGGGTGATCAAATACGAAAGTTTCTGCTATTAACAACCATCTGAGAAACCTATACGCACATGTGCAAAGAATGACGTAATGTGATGAAATGAAAACTTTGCTTAATTTGGTAGAATCATGGGTATCATTTAGGGATTGCATTCCGCTACTTATAAACAAAAACCCACTTAATGTCACTTAACCAAACAGGGCCTTAATTTTTTTCCTGTAAAAACCCCTGAAGAAGGTGATCTGTCAGGGTCTTAAACACCTTCTTCCTTTCTTCTCTGCTGTTCTTAATGTATTGCTTTAGTCATTGTCTCTTTATGACTTTTAAAATGGATCTTCACCACCAGTGGCCTCTCCACCTTCTCGGCAAGAAGAAAGGGAAGGTCCTACGAAAGGCTTCTCTCCATTTAATGAGTTTTTCTGGAAATCTCTAGGGACTTTTACTTTGATTTCAGAACTGTAGCACCCAGTTACGATTAGCTGACAGGAAGTTCAGAAAATGTATTTCTTTAAAGCTGGGCATAGTGCCACCTGCAATAAAAGATTATGTTGGTGAGGAAGGAGGGAGAGGACATCAGATAAGTAATTGGCAAGTATCAGCCACGCTCTTTTTCCTTGAATATCGTGATGCTCTTAATTCTAAAAAATACCCTGGCCGAGGCAAGAAAACCATCTGGTAGTGAGTGGGTGAGATGTTAATGACCCCTAACGATCCCAACTCCTTTTTTTCTTTTTTTTTTTTTAAAGATTTTCTTTATTTATTTGAGAGAGAAAAAGAGAGCAAGCACGAGAGGCAGAGGGAGAGAGGGAGAAACAGACTCTCTACATGGGTCTTGTCCAACACAGGGCTTGATCCTAGGACCCTGACTAAGATCATGACCTGAGCTGAAGGCAGATGCTTAACCGACTGAGCCACCCAGGAGCCCCATGATCCCAATTTCTTAACTGATTTTTAGATAGTCTAGATCCTTTCAGTTTTCTCTTTCTCACTCAGCTGTAAACCATTGTATTCTAGAAAGTCTGTTTGTAGAAGCAAGTAGGTGGAGTTTTGTTACTTTTTATGGAACTTATTTGAGAGTTCAGAGAAGAATGTAGCATAGAAACTGAGTGTTGCAACAAAGATTCGGATACTGTGAAGAGGTTGTGCAGGAGCCTTCTGTAAGCCTCAGTTCCTCATGTGAAAAGTATAGTAGTATGACCTGCAGTACTTGTAGGTCACGAAGTTTATTTAAGCATAAAACACATTAAAAGTTATTTGGTTGGTTTGTCAGAGAGAAGGGTCTGGGTCTGGGATGGGAGGTGGTGTTCTCCCAGTCTGCAAACAGTATCCCGAGTGGCCAAGCTGCCATGGCAAGGTGGAGGGTTTTTGTGAAGTGAAATGGAATAGGTATTGCCTGCATTTTTGTATGGAGTAATAGAGTTTACACTATCAGACCTATTATGTCATGTGGTGGTCCAGAGTCACACACCCATTTCATGGTTCCTGTTAGGCTGGCGCTTAGGCTGGCGCTTAGGACTCCTGACTCCTCCTCCAGATAAAGTATGATAATGTATTTATGCTGCGTGATAGCATTACCATTGTAGCTTTTCTGTAATTCAACATTTTATGTTGTGATTTCCACACTAACATAACTTGCTGGGTGAAAGTGTGGTGGTAGCTGGGAGGATCGAATGAGACCTAACGTAAGTCAGTCTACCTGCAAACTGCGGAGTGATGGATAATGACACAAAGCATTCATGGGATACAAAGGACAAGGGAATTATTTAGGGCCAAGGTGACAGATCTAGAAAGAGGGATTGTGCTTACCAGCTGTTGAGCCATTTCAGCTACTGACATTGGTTTATGCTGGAGTGTTCTCTTTGCTCAACCAGTACTAAGTTTTAAGGAATATGTTTCCTAATATTTATATATTGATAGAGAAATAAATGTGAAATTGTACAAAGCAAACACAGATTTTTAGAAAATAGCATCTGGAGTATCACCAATAAAAGTGTTGATAATAGTTATGATTTTCTGGTGGTGGGGGATATATATTGAGTTGAACATTAAAGTAATGTTCCAGTTGATGTATGTATGTTATTGATGTAAATATTTTAAAAGCTTAAAAATCGAGACCTATTTAACTACATATAGATTGTTTAATTTCAAAACTTTCTAGAAACCTTTAATACAGCACCGTGTTTTACAAGTTCTGTGTGTATTTTTTCCTTTCTCTCCCCTCAGTGAGTTACCTGAGAGAGAAGAAGGTGAAGGAGAAGAAACACCAAACTTTAGCCACTGGGGTCCACCAAGAATGTATGTCGGTGACGTTACAGGCTTTCTCAGTAGGAGAACACAATTAAGTAGTTGCTCTGTAATTTTATAGTGTCATTGGGACATGCACTGATGGAGAAATGGCCATCATTCACATGGAGGCTGGCCTGAATTTTAGTTTCATTTTGTCTCATGTAGAGATTTTTAGTGGAGCAAAATGACTATAATCAACATTACATGGAAAGGTTTTTTTTGTTTGTTCTTTTTTTTAAGATTTTATTTACTTATTTGACAGAGAGACTCTGATCACAAGTAGGCAGAGAGAGAGAGAGGAGGAAGCAGGCTTCCCGCTGAGCAGAGAGCCAGACGCAGGACTCGATCCTGGGACCCTGAGATCATGACCTGAGCCAAAGGCAGAGGCTTAAACCTCTGAGCCACCCAGGTGCCCCTACATGGAGCGTTTTTATCATACTTTTTCAGAAAAAGTAATTGACAAATGTCCATGTATGATAGTAACCATCACTATTGCATCACTGCCTTAAAATGCAGTAAAACGTCTTCCTTTTTTTTTTTTTTTTTTTTTTTTTTTCTTTTTAAATACACAGCAACCATAGTTGAGGCTTCTGGTGTGTACTCATTTATCTCTAGCCTCCTCTTGTGTTCGTGCAAGTCTGTGCCTTGCTTGAGCTAACAGAATACGAAAGTCTTCCTCTAGCTGTTCTTCCTATTCTTCATGCGTTATTAATCCCACAGGACCCACGTGATCTTTTCTCTTCTTGCATTTCCAAGTTTTGTCTTAAAGACTCGTAGGAGCTGTTTTCTGAACTACTTTTTTTTATTTCAGTTAATCATTGGCCACATCTGTGCCATTTGAGCAAAATTCATAACCATTTGAAGGGCAAGTTTTATTCCATACTTTATTTTTAAAAGTGATGTGGAGATGGGAGGAAAAAGAGAATCTGCCATCTTTCAGAGCAAAATCTGTCCCCAGCTTCAAGAACCACAGGTGAAACCTGCTGACTGGAAAAAGCCGCTTGGGCAACAAGGCTTTTGGTGACAAATTTACTTTATTGCGAAAGTTTGTGCTTTTTGCCAAATGATGCGTGCTACTTTCTTTTTTTTTTCTCCCCATCCATTTGTTATTTCCTTCATCCATTCTTTGCTGATGTTATGGATGTGGATTAAAAGAACTAATTATAGAAAATATATATATGGGAACCTTAAGGCCTAGCCAAATCTCTGAATATTAAGAGGTGTATTTATTGTTTTAGAAATCTTTTTCCAAATTCAAGCTTTCATATGTGCCATGAATTATTGATAATGTCTTATAATTTTGGAACTGGCTACAGTTTTGATAACATTTGTAAAAATATATTCATAGAAAATATGAGTCACAGGGATATGGTCGAAATCGAACACTTACAGTGATAGTCCAACAAATTATATTAGCTTACTCATAAGTGAATTTATTTTCTTTTTACAGTGTTGAGATATTTAGAGAACCCAATGTGTCTCTTGGTATTAGTATTGTTGGTGGACAAACTGTTATAAAACGCCTGAAGAATGGAGAGGAACTGAAAGGTATATTTATCAAACAAGTTTTAGAAGACAGTCCAGCGGGAAAAACAAATGCTCTTAAAACAGGAGATAAAATACTCGAGGTAAGTGCTGTTAAAATTCTGTTTGTGTTTGAAACCTACTCAAAGACAGTGATCATTTAACCAGAAGTCCTTCCTTCATTTGTCAGGGTATATGTGGATACAATTGGTGTATTTGCTTCTGGTGCCCTAGTTTGTATGTTGTTCATATAACTTTATGAGATTCTAAAGTTGGGGTGGCAGCATACAGCATATACAAAGGATCAGCTGACCAAAAATACACTTTTACAGTTTTTATAGAATGAGGCCGCCTGTGAGCCTTGTGCTTCTCCCACAGCATTTAAGAAATGCTAATTATTTTCCATCATTTAAAAAATATCTAATATTCTTCTTTTAAACTGAAGTATAGTTGACACGTAATGTTACATTAACTTGCAGTCATACTAGGTATACAACATAGTGATTCGACAATTCTGTACGTTACCCAGTGCTCCCAGTGCTCCCAGTGCCCCAGGGCTCCCAGTGCTCGCTGCAAGTGTGGTTAGCGTCTGTTACCATCAACATTGTTAAAATATTACTGACTATATTTTCTATAACAAGCTCTACATTTTATAACGATGTGTCAGTAGGATAGCCATGCTCATCCTCCCAGACTCCATTGTTCACGTGTGGTAGGCCTTGCAGAGCAGAGTTTAGGGCACATCAAGGCACTGACAATGTCCTGAAGTCTGAGTCTCTTGCATTTCTTGGCACTGGCTTTATTGGATGACATTGTATTAAATATCTTCAGCCCCAGAATCTGTGGGTTCTTGATACATGCTTTATGACGCTAAGCTTCAGCTGTGGTGTTTTAGTTCTGGTAGAATGAAAAGAGCTCTGGAGGTCACAGGTTGAAGTCTTGATAGTCCTATTTATTTTGTGTCTGTTCTTGGACATATTATTAGACCCACCTTATTCTCAGTTTCGAAATAAAATGGAATGAGAATTTAAAACCCAGAGCATCACTCTGAGGATTAAAACAAAGAACTGTGTAAAAGTGCTCTGTATATACAGATACTAGGTTATATTCGTGTTTTTGAAATCAAATAGATTTCAGACCCCGGGGATATGGCAGTGAAGAAAATGAACAAAATTCCTACTCTTAGGGGATTTCCACGGTAGTGGGGAAGATAGATAATATGTAAGTAGTATGTGGAGTGCTGGATTATACCAGATAGCAGAAAGATGAGGAAGGAAGGGCGGTGGAGGTGGTGATGACAACTGATAGATTGGTTATGGAAGGGAGAGTGAGCAAGAGAGTGGGGAGAGAAAAAGTCTAAGAGGTAATGTGAAGCCACATCACAGAGGGCTTGGAAGGTTGCCTTCTCTGAACGCAGTGAGAGTCCATTAGAGAATTACCAGTGCATACATATTTTAAAAGGATTACTCTGGCTTCTGGGGCAGGTGCAGTTTCCTTTATTTAGAATTTGCATGGCACGTTGTTTTTTCATCCCTTGGCTTTCACCCTTATGATTTTGTTTTAGGTGTATGTTTTGTAAGCAGCCTATAACTGAATTTTGCTCTATTTAAATCTACCTTGATAATTTTCATCTAATAAATAAGTGACACTGATTCTTTTTTTTATTACTGATATATTTGAACTTAATTTTTAAATATATATTTTATGTTTTGTTTGGTCTTTTTCTTCCCCTTAACTTTCTGTTGTGAAGCAGAATCATAGGTACACTTATCCTCCCTCAGCCTCCACCAGTGTTAATGTGTGACACAGCTGTAGTACAATAACAAAACTGAAATACTGATATTGGCACAATTCATAGACCTTATTTCGATTTCACCTGTAATACATGCGGTCATGTATAACTGTGTGTGTTTTGTAGCTCTCCACTGTTTCATCCCGTGTGTAGCCTTGCATAACCACCTCACAGTCAAAGAAACTCCACTAGATCACCACAAGATTCCCCTGTGTCCTCCCCTGCAGCCTCTTCCCCTGACATATCCCCCCGTACCCAACTTCTGGCAACCACTAATCTGTTTCTCCATGGCTGTATTTATGTTATTTCACAGTTGTCACATAAGTGGAATTATATATTCTGCATCTTTTTGAGATTGGTCTTTTTCACTTAGCATAATCTCACTGAAGTTCATTTAATTTGTTGTATCCATCAATAGTTCATTCCCTTTTATTGTGACTGAATAATATTCCATGGTGTGGAAGAGGTACCAGAGTTTAACCATTTGCTCACTGGAAGACAATGGGTTGGGGTACCTGGGTGACGGCTATTGTTTTGGCTCAGGTCATGATCTCAGGGTTTTACAGTCACCCTACATTGGGCTCCACGCTCAGCAGGGAGTCTGCTTGGGACTTTCTCTTTCCTGTGCCTCTGTCCCTCCACTGCGTGCACTAGCTCTCTTTGTCTCAAATAAATAAATCTTAAATCTGTATCTATAAATAAATAATCCTGTACCCGTCTCCCCACTGCATGTGCTTGCACACGCTCTCTCTCTAATAAATAAATCTTAAATCTACATAAATAAATAACATGTAATATTTAATATAATATATATTTAAGAAAGATACCTGGGTCGTTTCCAGCTCTTGGCTATTAAGACTAAAACTTCTATAACTTCTGTGAACATTGGTATATAAGTTCTTAAGTGAAAATAAGCCTTCATTTGGTCTGAAGTAAATGCCCAAAATGCAATTACTGGTTGTATGGTAAGTCCATTTTTAGTTTTGAAGGAAACTATTTTCCAGAGTGGCTGTACTATTTTACATTCCCACCAGCAACATGTGAGTGATCCGGTTTCTCCACATTCTCACCAACATTTGGTGTCATTATTTTTCGGACATTCTCCTAGGTAGATATCTTGTTTTGAGTTTCCCTAATGGCTAATGATAAAGAACTTTCCATGCCATCTGTACGTTTTCTCTTTAGTGAAATGTTTGTGCATGTCTTTTGCCTATTTTCTAATTGTAATGTTGATTGTTTTATCTTTTTAAATTATATGTTTTCCCCCTCACTTCTCTGTGCTGTGAGTTGAGTACAAAGTATTCTCTTACTAATCCGTCACTCTTATATGCTAATAAGAACCCACTGCTTTGTCTCAGATTTAATCATTTCTTTAAACTCACAGCAGATTTGAACTGTTAACACTTTATTTTGTCAACCATGCTGAGTCATTTTGTTTACTTTTTTCCTGTGAAAAGCATCACTTATTTGTTTTGTTTTTAAGTAAAGCTTAATAATCACTTCTCTCTGCCTTGAAACAGTTGCATAAAGGAGCTAGGTCTTTATAAAGAAGAATTTGTTGACCTGGGAGGTTAGCAATTAATTTAACTTTTAGAAATGGGTCTTACCTGTGTGAATGGACACACTTCTGGGTTATACATTTGAAGCTGAGAAAAATTTAAGATTATGTTTCTTTGGTAGTATAGCAGAATTCCGTTTTTTCTCCTAACTTCCCAACTTCAGTGATTCCCATTTAACCCTGTGGAAATCCGGAAGATGAAAGGGTTCTTCTGTAGCTTCTACTTCTCTTACTGTTGAATGTTTTGGGGATTAGGTCATTCATAAGAAGCTTCACAAGATTGTTGTGATAGCTTTTAAGTTTCAGTTAAAATTTTTTTCTGTATTGGTTTATAGTTATTCATATCCTTCCTGGGTTCATATGGGAAAAGAGGTTGCACAGAGCTTATTAAAATCTTCCAGTGGATGTCTGCTAGAATAAAAGGCCAGAGTTCTTGCCACAGCTGCCTCCCTGACCTCACCTCTCTGCACCCTCCCTCTTACACTGGGCTTTACACACCCCTGCTTTTAAACCCCTCTCCTGGGGCACCTGGGTGGCTCAGTGGGTTAAAGCCTCTGCCTTCTGCTCAGGTCAGGGTCTCAGGGTCCTGGGATCGAGCCCCACATCGGGTTCTCTGCTCAGCAGGGAGCCTGCTTCCTCCTCTCTCTCTTTGCCTGCCTCTCTGCCTACTTGTGATCTCTGTCAAATAAATAAACTCTTTAAAAAACAAACAAACAAACAAACAAAAAACCCCCCAAAAAACCCTCTCCCAAGCCAGGCTCCTGTCTCCTACCTTCTGGCCCTTACCTCTGTGTCCCTCAGCTTGGGACGTGCTTGCTTTTCTCCTCACCATGCTCTGATTCACTGACTGACCATTCCCATCACTTCCAGCTCCTTGATTCCCATTGCTTTTACTGAACTTGTCTAGGGAAACCACATCCTAGTTAAATGCAACTCTTGGCTTATTTCCGGTCCCTAGCATAGCTGGAGAAAATAACTAGCGAGACTGTCTGGTCTCATTTTAAATTCATGAGCTCCTTCTCAAGAGAGTCTTTAGCTCTGCCTTGCAATCCTGTAAAATTTCCCTGGTTGTTTCACTCTCCTCCTTCCAGAGGTAACTCCTTCACACCTCCTAAACTGTCTTCCTCCCTCTTAATCTCAGTTTGTGGCGCTTGTTTCTTATTTCATGGAGAAAATAGAGGCAGTCACCGTGTGCCAAAACTTTTTTCTATCTGTATCTGTAACAACATAGGAACATAGGAACTATTTGTGCTTCTAACCAATCTCCCTAACTTGTGCCATGGAAGTCATTCCCTTTTCACTGTTCAAGGATTCATGCATTTTCCCTCCACCACATCATGGTTACTGTAATACCTCCCAGCTTAAACATGAAAGCCAACCTCGATCCCACAGCCCTATCCACCTACATCCCTGCTTGGTCTCCTGATGGCAAAGACGTATTCACAGATCATCACTATCCACTGACCATAAGCCACCCCAACATTTACCAGGGCTTTGATACGTTACCAGTTTGAAAGACTGGTTCTGTTAAATACGGTAAATACAAAATGCTCTTGGAGATTGTGGACATGTTTGCAAGTTAAGGTCTCTGAAATTTGTATGATAAGGAGTTATGTAGACTTACTCCAATTTACTGAACAGAGAACACTTTCAGTAAAAAGAACCTATGGATATTTTCGTAGTTCTTTTTTAAACATAATTTGAGAGATGTTCAACTACTCAATTAAAATAATGGACAATTTGCTTAAAATACTGTACTTCTCAATTTGAGAGAAGAGTCCAGACCACGCTCCCCTGTCCCCACTCAGAATTCTGTGCTGTGTTTAGTGGCAGAGGTGACATCATAGCTCAGAAGCTGCTTAAGGTTCTGTCACTGACCGAGCTCCCTATTTTGGATAATTATATTTTACCAGGGCTATTGTTATTAAGATACTTGTCTTACTCAATTTTCTTGAAGGTAAAATGTTATTTTCCTTAAACATGTTTTTAAACAAGCTTTTTATGGGCTTTTTTTTTTTTTTTTTTTTTTTTTTTTGCTTTGGTCTAATTCATTAGATCATTAGATTCTGGTTGTTCTCTGGGACGCCTGGGTGGCTCAGTTGGTTGGACGACTGCCTTTGGCTCAGGTCATGATCCCGGAGTCCCGGGATCGAGTCCCGCCTCGGGCTCCCAGCTCCATGGCGAGTCCGCTTCTCCCTCTGACCTTCTCCTCGCTCATGCTCCCTCTCACTGCCTCTCTCTCAAATAAATAAATAAAATCTTTAAAAAAAAAAAAAGATTCTGGTTGTTCTCATCACTAGATAATACATATGAACTCTAGAGCCTTTCTAATTGAAATAAAATCACTTCTGTGTTTTAGGTGTCTGGAGTAGATTTGCAGAATGCCTCTCACAGAGAAGCAGTTGAGGCCATTAAGAATGCAGGAAATCCCGTGGTATTCGTTGTTCAGAGCTTGTCATCCACTCCAAGAGTAAGCTTTAGTTGGTATTTTTAAAAAATTTAAAAATATTCTCTCTGTATCTATGGACCAAGCTTTTGCCTCCATGTATTTTTCCACGTATTTTCATTTTGATCCTGCTATTACCTACAAAAAGCATTACTTCATAAAAATTTAGTTATTAACTTCACCTTCTCCTTTTTCTTCTTTGATTTTGGTCTTTTGGTCAACTTTGAATCATTCCAGTCTGCCTTGGTATAAGTCACAGGCTATGGAGTTAGACCTGTTTTCCATTCCTTAATTCCCTGTTGACCAGCTTTGCTAACTTAGAGACGAGTTACTTGACTTTTCTGAGTCATTTACTTTGTTTATAAAATACTTTGAACATAAAGGGGGTCAGATATGAAAACATCCTAGAGGTACCTCCATGCCCTGTGTAGTTATTAAAAGAGCATAAAAATGAAAATGTGGTGCATTATTGTACATCCTGAATTCAAAACTAGCAGTAATTAATTGTAACACTTTTATCTGTAATAAATAATTTTTTCAGTATGGAATTAGAATTCTCTTACATCGATGTCAGTGGCAGGATTTGTACTTTATTTTGCAATATGCAGCAGAAACATCACCCCTAAGCCCTGTGACTGGAAGAAAGGCTTATTTCTCTTTCTTATAGTGGAAGACAGCTGTTCGAAACATAGGCACTTCTGAACAGTAGAAAAACTGCGTATTTTTTTTAAAATGCTTTTCAGTAAATGATGTGGTGCTTTTCAACCTTTTGTATGTCAAGGCATACAGAAAATAATATTTGTATGGCAACCTGGGCAAACAGAGGTTTGGCTGCCCTGAGGGTGGGGGGGTATCAATACATTTTGATGTAACTTAGAACCTGCCTGCACTCAGGGGCCTGCAAGGTCACCCTCCCCGGGGCGGGGGGCAGCTCTGCTGGGGTACACTGTGTTGCAGTATGAACCTTCCCAGTCTTAGTGCTGTTTACACCGTCAAGACTCCCTGAGAATGGGGAACTGAATAATGTCTTCCTATTTTCATACAGTTTGAAATTTGGGGGGAATCCACTTTTTAATTCACTTTTTTTGGAAACCAGGTTTTTGGAATCCACCTTTTATTTCTTACAATATTGAGAAGGTAGTTGAGGCTGTCGGTTTTATTTCTGGAGACTGAGTTCCATAGGAAAATTGGCCAGGTTATTCCTTGCCAAATGGTACTTCCAAAGAAACAGTTTAAATGAGAATGAGCTGGTGACTTGATACCTTTATGTGGCCACTTATGACTGCCCTGCCAAAAAAATATTCAAAGCAAAAAAAGGTTATAAAGTCAACCAAAAAGGTTTTTAATCCAAGCATTTAATCCAGACTTTGCTGGTGAGTTGAGGTGGAAATTTTCACTCAGATAACACAAACAGCGCAATTTCTTTCACTGCTCAAAAAAAGAAAATCTTCTTAGGCATCATGCCATGCTCAAGTCACTTTTTCCCCATGCAGCACAAGAGACTGCCACATTGTGCATTTGGTTCATCAAGCATTGAGCTATCTCTGGTTCTAGGCAAGGGAGCACATTCAGGTGATGGACATGACTTGTTCCATTTTTTAACACAAAGTAATTCCTGTTGAATGAGGCGTTAAAAGGAATCAAGTTTCATATCGTTGCAAAATGGCGCTCTCGTGGGCTTATTTATTGTTGCAAGTAATAGTGGTCATCACAGAAATAGAAAGTAGAGCCAAATGCTTAATCACTTTTGACCACTTTACATTAATATTGAGATTTTCTGCAAAACCCCAAAAGAAGTCATTTTCTAACATTGGGACCATCAAGGAGACCCTATGTCTGAAGTGCCCTGGTCACATGGAGATTGTCATTAACATCATCAGTTGAGCAGTGGTATTTATATTTGTACTTCTTAAAAAATTCTTTGCGTTATATTTTACTTTTTTATATTTGCACTTTGAACAGATACTTTTGGAATTTCACCAACACATTACCTTTTTAAGCTTTTTCTCCTCAATTCCTCAGTAGTGTTTTCAGCATGCTAGAAAGAAATGCGTATATCCACTTAGATTTATTTGGCAAGTGCTTGTTTGAGAGAACTGATTTATACTACACTCCTCTATAGCAAGTTTTTATGCCAGGGTATTTATTTCCCACTTAATAACATAGGTACATTTCACATGCTGTTTATCCACATTCCGAAACAAACCTGTTTGAAATTGGGATCATCCCTTCAGTTCATTAAATTTATTATCCTATGTTGCCTTCTTTTCCCATGTATTCCATTTGTCCTTCTCTAATACCATGGTTTCGTAATGGCACCTAAACTTCTTTTATGTGTACACTTCCATACTAAATGTATAAAAACAAAATTTTCACTGTCACAAGAAATATGCCATCTTCTGCTTTTATTAAAGATGCAGTCTTCTTGGTAAGCCTTTGGCCTTCCAAATTTGGCTAATGGTACGTTTACAGAGATATGTTTCTGTGCCGTTCAAAGAACAGTGTAAACTTAGGAGTGGCAGCTGACGTTGTGTCCCATCCCAGAGCTTCTGCTCTTCAGCTCCAGCCGGTTTTTCCCATGGGAGAAGGTAGGTCCAGTGTGGACAGGTGTTCTGACTTACCAGGGAGGCCAAGTACTTTTGTTTTAAGATTCTTCAGGACAAGAAATACATGCCTGTAGATCAACCAGGTTTTGAACTTGGGCCTTTCATGTTAGTGTTTGAAAATGACTTCTTTTGAAGTCTTGCAGAAAGTCTCAAAGTTAAAGGACTTGGATTATTATTTGTATTAAACGGAGGAATAAACACTAAGCACTAACAATGTCTGTTCACATATAAAACATTAAGTATATGTTATGTGTTATTACTATTTCCTTCCTATCTATCTATCTATCTATCTATCTATCTTTAAGGAGGCTCCATGCCCAGTGTGGGGCTTGAACTCATGATCCTGAGATGACGAGTTCATGCTCTACCACCTGAGCCAGTCAGGTGCCTCTGTTGTTTCTTATTTAAATGAAACATTTCTGAGACTTTCTCATTTGTTCCAAAATTAGTTTATTTCTTTAGACTCTATATTAAAGGCCAAGAAAATTTAATCTTAAATTGCATGTATAGAGAGAGGTATTTTTTGCTTTGCTTTGTTTTGTTTTTTAAATTACCCCTAGGCAGGCAGTTTCTTTACATTTCTGGGAAAGGAGATTTGTTTTTTCTTACAACCCTCATGTCTGTCATCAGATTCTATGCCAAGATTATTTGTGTTAGCTATTTGAGGAGGCTTTAAAAAAAAATCACTAAAAATTTTATATTTTCCCAAGATGTTTCATAGATTGTTTGGTAAAAAGAAATGAGTCAAAAAGTAATCTATGCTGTTGGCACCGTTGAGAATTAAAAGTATTTCTATGAAATGGAACTATTTTGTTCATGTATAAACATTTATTGAGTGCAACTATGTAATGGGTTCTTTCTGAGCACTATGTATAGTGATAAATCACTAAATTCCAGCTCTCATTGAGCTTTTATCCAGAGATGTAAATAGATCTGTGGTTTATCTTCATGCTAACAGTACTAGTGTAATATTTATTGAGTGTGCACATTGTGCTAGATAATATACTTGATTTGGGATACCGTGATGAATAAGGTAAATCACATAAATGATGCCTCCTGTGTTCTAGGGAGGGTTTCATATACGTCACCCCTAAAACTGTTTTTGCAAAATGAGATGTTTGGATGACAGTCAGTATTGAGACTTTCTTTTTCATCATCTTCATTTTCACTTTCTGGATCTACACATATTGTGAGTTTATGGTTCTTCGATGTTATAGACACATACACACGCACGCAATATTTTGGGTAATCTAGCTTGTAATAATTTTCAGATTGTATTGTTTGCCTTGAATTCTGCTTTTCATGTCTTTATTTTTTAGATGAAGTTAGTGACTTAGTTAAGTAAGATTTTAACTGTTTAAAAAATTAGGAAATGTAATGATTGTGACATTTAAATGTTTTATTTCTTTTCCCTTCCTTTTGTGTGTGTGTGTGTGTGTGTGTGTGGTATCATAGGTCCTTCCTAGTGTGCATAACAAGGCTAACAAAATCGCTAATAACCAGGACCAAAACACCGAAGAAAAAAAGGAAAAGGTAACGTGAACCTCTCAAGCCTTTTAAAAATGTTTTTTGATTTAAAATAAAATGGTTTTGGGGTCGCCTGGGTGGCTCAGTGGGTTAAGCCGCTGCCTTCGGCTCAGGTCATGATCTCAGGTTCCTGGGATCGAGTCCCGCATCGGGCTCTCTGCTCGGCGGGGAGCCTGCTTCCCTCTCTCTCTCTCTCTGCTTGCCTCTCTGTCTAGTTGTGATCTCTCTCTGTCAAATAAATAAATAAATACATCTTAAAAAAAAAAAAAGAATAAAATAAAATGTTTTTGGTGTCTTTTTTCCTATCTGATCTGCAATTAATAAGAATGGTGCTTTGAGGGGCGCCTGGGTGGCTCAGTGGGTTAAGCCTCTGCCTTCGGCTCAGGTCATGATCTCAGGGTCCTGGGATTGAGCCCCACATCGGGCTCTCTGCTCAGCGGGGAGCCTGCTTTCCCCTGCTTCCTTCCCCCAACCCCGCCGCCGCCCCTGCCTGCGTCTCTGCCTGCTTGGGTTTTCTCTGCGAAATAAAATCTTCAAAAAAAAAAAAAATGGTGTTTTGACTAGTATCAGGCTAGAAGGACTGTGTTAAAAACGTTTCCTTCCTATGAGTCTAACTAGTTCTGGCCAGGATGAAAGCCAGAAACATAGTGAAACATAGGTGCAAAAATGTGATAAAGCACCATTCATCCCTTGTCATCTTTGTCTGTCTTTCCTGTTCAGTTGAGCTGGTTGCCTGTCCATTCCCAGAAAATGCGTCTTCCTCTAGGGAATTTAGGGGACTTTGATCTTGCAGTTCCCTCAGCCTGGAAATCCATTTCCCACATTGCTCTTCTTTTATCCTCCAAGGAGCAACCCAAAGGTCATCTCTCCTGAGAAAACATTCCTTACCGTCAATCAAAATTCGTCATCCATCCTTGTTTTCCCACCTCTGTTCTAGTGAAGTCCATCTAAAATTTATTTTAGGATATAGTATTAGGTAAGGATAAGTTTTTATTTTTCCCCCATAAAGATAACTATCCTACTGTTAATAGGCCCTCCATTACCTACTGACTTGTATACAACCTGTCCTGGCTCAGGTTATCAGGGGTTTTGCTTCTGAGTTTTCTCTTTGTTCCCCATGTCTGTCCCAGCACAAATACTACACTAGCTCAATTATTAAAGCTTAATAATAAATCTTGTTTTCTAGTAGAACAATTTCCTTTACATATTTCTTCTTCTTTAGAGGTGTCTTCCCTATTTATATCCCTTTTCTTTTCTCTGAATTTTAGGACTAGCTTGTCAAATCCCACAAAAAAATCTGAGGATTTTGATGGGAGTCATATCATATCTATAGATTAATTTTTAAAGAAGTAGATCTTTATGACATCTAACCTTTTTAATCAATGACATGGTATATCTTTCTATATATTAAATTCTTTTTTCTTTCAATTTTTACTATTTTCTTGAGTAAGGTATTATAAATCTTTGGTCTATTCCTAGATACAGTTACATTTTTTATTGCTTTTAAGTATTTTAAACTGCATTTTCTGTTGTTGCTAATATGTAGACATAAAATTGATTTTTTTATGTATTTATTTGATATCGAATAACGTTATTGCCTTATTTTTTAATAAAAGAATCCAGTGCATAATACTGGGAAAACTGAAAGACTGAAACAAAATCACTCATAAACTCACCACCTAAATATAAACTTACTAAATATTTTAAATACTTTATGTAGAGCTTTCTACTGTCTTTATGTCCTCCATAAATATATATAATTTTAATAATGAGTCCCAGATTCTAATACTATGTAGATTTTTATTTCTGGATTTTCTGTATGGTGATAATAATCATTCTGGATAAAGGAAGTTTTCTTTTTCCCCTTTTTCCAATCTTACTATATCTACTAAAACCACCATTGTGTTTAATAAAGAAGTAATAATAGCTATAATTTTTTCCTCTTGATATTTAAGAAATTGCTTTTAATATTTCGCCATTGAATATAATGTGTGTTGTAATTTTTTGTAGTTAATCTTTCAGGTTAAGGAAGTAACCCCTTTCATTCTTATTTTGCTAAGTATTTTTATCTTGAATGGCATTGGGATTGAATTTTATCAGATGTATTATCTGCATTAACTGAAATTAATTGTGTATTATACATTTTTTTTCTCCTTGAATCCCTTAATGTGGTAAATTACATTAATAGATTTCATAATGTCAAACCAATCTTGAATTCTTGGATTAAACTTAATTCGATCATGATTTTTTTTTGCACATTGCTGGCACTATTTCCATTAGGATTTTTGCATCTGTGGTTAGGAATGAAATTGTGCTGGAATTTACTATTGTATCTGCTTTTGAATATATGAGACTACTAAAATGAATAGTAGGTGTATTTCTTCTTTTTTAGTTCTCTGAGCATTTCTGTAAAATGGTTATTATTCATTGCTTAAATCTTTGGTCACACTAGCTTATGAAGCCATTTTGGCCTGTGTTTTCTATGTCAGAAAAAATCTAAAATGCTGGTTCAGTTCTTCAGTACTTGTGGAACTATTCAGATTTTCTGTTCTAGAGTCAGTTTTGGTTATTGATTCTTTTCTAGGAATATTGTTGTGACTTAATTTTTCACACTTGTTGGAATAGAGTTGTTTATCTTTTTTTTTTTTTTTTAAGATTTTATATATTTATTTGACAAGAGAGAGCACAAGCAGGGGGAAAGGCAGGCAAAGGCAGAGGGAGAGGGAGAAGCATGCTCCCCTCTGAGCAGAGAGCCAAATACGGGCCTCCACTCCAGGATCCTGGGATCATGACCTGAGCTGAAGGCAGACACTTAGCTGACTGAGACACCCAGGCACCCCAATGTTGTTTATTATCTTAGCTTGAATTATGCTTGCTCCGTCTATAGTTCTTTTTCATTGTGAATATAGTTTATAGTTTACTTTTTACTTTTTTCTTAATCTTGAAAGTAATTGTCATTTAATTTCTCAAAAAAAATTTTTGTGTAGTTGACATAGCATTACATTAGTTTCAAGTATGTAGTTCCTCCATTTGAAGTTCTGATTTTTGAACTGTGTTAGTCATCTCTGTTGTATCCTTATTCTTTTAATTTATTTGTGAGAGAGCACAAGAGGGGGAACAGCAGACAGAAGAAGCAGGCTACCTGCTGAGCAAGGAGCCTGATGTGGGACTCGATCCCAGGACCCTGGGATCATGACCTGAAGGCAGATGCTTAACCCACTGAGCCACCCAGGCATCCCTATTCTGCTTGATTTTGTTCTCATCTTTATATTGCCTTATTTTGTTTGGTTTTCTTCTCGCCATCCCCCCATACCATAATCTCTAAGTAGTTGTAGAATTTATTAATTTTTTAGCTATTTTTTTAATAAAATAATCATTTAATACCATATATTTCCTTTTAAGTCATTCTTTACATCCCAAGATTTTAAGTTGAATGTCTATTATTCAGTACTGTTTTTTTAAGCCCCCATATTTTCTTCTTACCCAAATTTATTTAGAAATGTATCTTTAAATTTCCACGTGAGTATTTTTAAAAACTTATTATTTTCTAACATATTTCCATTATAATCAAAGATTGTGGTATATGTAACATTCTTTTGCATTAGTTGAGACTTTTTTTGTCCTATCATATTCTCAGTTATTATAAATTTATTATAAATTTACTATTTGTTATTATAAATTTATTATTATAAATGTATATCTCTGAATAGCAAAGTAGGTTTTCATTTGGAAGATTTTATTTTTAAGTAATCTCTGCACCCAACATGGGGTTCAAACTCAACCCCAAGATCAGGAGTCACACATTCTACCAACTGAGCCAGCCAGGTACTCCTAGCATGATAGTTAATTGGGTGTAGGTTTATATACAAAGTCACTAGAGCAAATTAGTTAATTAAGTTATTCAGATACTTGTGTTTTCTTGAGGGTGGGGTCAGGGTAATCTAGCAATCTCCCATTTTGATAGTAAAATTAGCCTGTTTTTCATGTAGTTTTTCAGTTTTTATTTTATACTTTTTCAAGTTAATTTATTAGGTGTCTGCAAGTTTTAAACTATCTTTATTCATATTTGGCATTATTTAGTAACGTCCTAACATCTATGTCACCTAGTATCGCTGAATCTGTGCCAACTTTATTTTCATGTTTGCCTGGATTTTAGCTTAGAAATTTTTGAGCCACACACAGAATGAATTCAGGTCTCCAACCTGAGAGATTCTGGGCTAGTAAAGAATTCTGAGGGAATACCTTTTTTCCTTTTTTCTACCTCAAGCTAAGACCAAGGCCAGGGAATATCCTTACTATCTTCTGTGGTCAAGATTTTGGTTTGTTTCATTTTTTAAAAAAATATTTTCTCTATTTATTCATGAGAAACAGAGAGAGAGAGAGAGAGAGAGAGAGAGAGAGAGAGAGAGGCAGAGGGAGAAGTAGGTTCCCCACTGAGCAGGGAGCCTGATGAGGGACCCAATCCCAGGAGCCTGGGATCATGACCCGAACGAAGGCAGACGGTTAACCATCTGAGCCACCCAAGCACCCATGATTTCTTTCTTTCTTTCTTTTTTTTTTTTTTTTTTAACTTCAACCATTGTAGGTTTCACCCTGTTAAAAGAAAAAAAAAACAGTAACTGAATTGAACACTTGGGAAACCTTTATTTGCAGACATGTACACAGGGATCAGTTAAGGCTGCTGGAAGATTTGGGGCACAGCATTCTTAAAAGGGATAAGAAAAAGCAAAGTTAAATTATAGATTATATAGATTATAGATCATATCGATTATAATTAGGGGGTTGTGTTTTAACCTCGTTGGCCACCTTGTTTGAATTCAGATTTTAATCACATCGATTTTAATCAGATTAGCAGTAGCATATGCTGCGTGTTCAGGATTGTGTAGTTTTTGGTAATCATGAGTAGACACAGATAATACTATAGGTTCTGGGAGACCATGGTTATTGCTTGTAGAAATACTAGTCAGAGGCATGATCCGGGTCATGACTTGCAGAAATCTTTCTCA